AGCCCCCTCATCCTCTCCTACAGTAGGTCATACAGAGATTACCAATAACTGCATCTCCTTTTATTCCCAGGAATGCATACTACTTTATTTACACATTTTAAATTTAAAATTTGAAAAAAAAACCCTATTATAGCAAGCAATTGATTTCACATCTCCTTCATAAATTCACATTCAAATAATTTCTTTCCAGCATACTAATTTTAGTACCCAGACTCCAATTAGCCCTCAACCCCAGTGAGACCCAATTTATTTTATCTGACCACCTATTCGTGCTGCTCCATCTCCCTCCTGTCTTAGCTTCTCTGTTATCCATGTGGCACTACATAGTTCAAAATTATAAACACTTTCTTGTATTCACTCAGAAAACTCATGCTCTTAACTCTGTTTTGTTGTATGCATTTGGTAAGAACCCAACTCTGGTAAAAATCAACTCTCTTATTCACTTCATTTACTCTGAACGTCTATTCACACAGCTGACCGGTGGCTAGTGAAAATATACAACCGTGATAACTGGCTTATATTTAATTTCATGACCACTGATCTCATGTGGTCCTGGTCCATTCATTTTCCCTATCTCCTAGAATTACGATACTCTCTTGCCTCAGATATCTAACATTCTCCTTTTTGGCTTTCTATTTCATTGAGACAAAAGAAATACCAAAGTTCCTCCTCTACACTCAAGGACATTCTTTCAGAAATTTCTCCTTTTGTCCTGCCTCACCAATTTCTTCCTTTCTGCCAAATCATTCCTATGAGCATGTAAACATACTTTAATAGCTCCTATCAAAAGAGGAAGGAGGGAAGGAAGGAAGGAAGGAAGGAAAGAAGGAAGGAAGGAAGGAAGGAAAGAAAGGACAGGGAGGCAGGTGTGGGGAAGAGGGAGAGCTTTTATCTTTACCTCTCCAGTGAGTCTGCTCGGGCCCTCGTTGCTACAAACCACAGTGGTCAATTCTCCCCTCTCCCCAGTATTTGACCGGTCATCCTCGCCTGCTTGAAACATGTTCTTCAGTTGAAATCTGTAGCACAGATCTCTTGTCTGCCTCTTGCCTCACTGACCACACTGTTTCCGTTTCCTCTGCTGATACACTCCACTCCCTCCGGCTTCTAGACCAGTGGTTTTCAATTTGGGATGCATGTAAGAATCACCTGTTGCCATTATGACCACGTGGAAGAACTTAGAGGTTATCATGCTAAGTGAATTAAGTCAGAGAAAGACCTATGAAAGACCTTATCAAATACCATATGATTTCACTTAGATGTGGAATCTAAAAAATAAAATAAATAGATAAAACAAGCAAAGCAGAAACAGACCCATAAATACAGAGAACAATTTGTTGGTTGTCAGAAGAGAGGGGGTTGAGGGGCTGGGCAAAATCAGTGAAGGGGAATTGGGGCACAGGCTTCCAGTTACAGAACAAATGCACGGTGGGGAGAAAGGGAACAGCCTGGGGAATATAGTCAATGGGACTGTAGTACCAGTGTATGGGGACTGCTGGTCGCTACTCTTGTGGTGAGCACAGTATAATGTGTATTTATGTATATGTATATATACTTGTTGAATCACCATGTTGTACACCTGAAACTAATGTAACTGTGTCAGTGACACTTCAATAAAAAAAAAAAGAAGAATCATCTAGTGAACTTTTAAAATGCATTAATGCCCAGGTCTCAACTAATTAAATCAGAATCTCTGGGGGCAAGGTGAGAGGTTTAGGCAATTTTGTTAAACATCCCGGGGTGATGCTAATGCGCAGCCAGGATGAGAAGTACGGCTGTGAACACAGGAGGGCCGCATGGCTTGTCTCAGATCTTGAACCTTTTCCATCTGCACTTCCTTAGGTGATCCCATCCAATCTCTCAGCTTCAGATACCTCAACACCTGGTACCTTCTAAATGTATGTCTTCAGCCTACACCCTTCTCCCAAACTCTGGAATTCCATTGGTAACTCTCTGTTGTCACCTCCTTTGGGATGTATAATCTCATTTCCAAAGTTAACATGTCCTTCTGCTTTCATCCCCATCTCAGTAACTAGCAGTTCTATCTCTCCAGCTACATGGACCCACACAGAGTAAATGTTGTTATCTCGGAGTCATCATTATGACTCTCTTTCTTTTATGTCTCGTCTCCAAACCATCAGCCAATCCTGTTTCAAAATAAATCCAGAATCTGATTGCTTATCTCACCACTTTCAATGTTCAGCTCTGATTTGAACCCTTATCTTTTTTCTCTGCATTATTACTACAGTTCATATTTGGTCTTCTTGCTGCTAGTCTTTACCAGGACAGCACAGTGATCCTTTTACAGCGTTATTTAGATGATGTTACACCATTGCTTAGAACTGTCCGACGGCATCAATGCCCTGAACTCCCTTTATGATATGACTCCCTGCGCCTTCCATTCTCTCTCTTACTGTTTCTACTTGAGCACATCAGGTATTGTACTGTTCCTGAAGCATGCCACATACCCTCTCGCTTTTGTACTTGGCATTCTGTCTGCCTGGAACATTCTTCCCTCAAGTATCTCCCCTGACTCATTCAAATGCCATCTCATCACCATGGTCCTTCCTTGGCCACCCTGTATAAAATAACACCTCTCTACCTATACTCAGTATTACCCTTCTTTGCTTTATATGTGTTTGTTTTTAGTCTCATTTGAACCAAACACAAACTCCTTGAGGACAGGATCTTTAAGCATGGCTTGGTTCTTGGCATGTTATAGGTACTCAGTAATCACTTGCTGAATATTTGAGTCAAGCTGGGGAGCTAAGGCTTCTGGCCACAACTCCTGTGGTGCTATTGTAAATAACAGAACATCAAAGGACCAGATAAGGCTTTTGGAAACAACATATACCTCAGAAACCTTTCCCCTTGCCCCTTTCGTTAGGATTATCCCTTTGATTTGGGTGGGGAAATGAAATTGGGACGAGACTAAAAATGATATTGCAATACTGTGGCTTAAAATAAATCATTGTGAGATCTGCATTCTCTGAGTCACCCTGAGGCTGGAACATTTTCTGCTTGCATTGAAATACTCTCTTGTCTCCTAAATTCCCTGAGACGCCAAAGGGCCACAGCTCCTGAGAGATAAATCCTAGTATGGGCACCAAACATTCATCAGATAAGTAAAATCAAACAACATAGTGCAAGGGGAAAATGACATCAAAATATATTTTGATTGTAAAAAATAAGTCTCACTAAAGGCCAAATTTAGTTCTGTACCTTAACTAAAAATTTTAAATTACAAACAGAACTCCACTCCTCCTCCACCACCCCCCAATTAAGGAAATGAAGCTGGACTTCTTGAAAAACTTTATAAACCACAGAGCAAAAAAAGAAAGGCCTTTTGCCTGTCAATTCTGAAAATCTCTTCAGGGCTAAAGCTGTGAATGTTGTAACCTGAGAGAGGAAGATAATAGTCGTAGTTGGGACGCCTGGGTGGCTCAGTTGGTTAAGTGTCTGCCTTTGGCTCAGGTCAGGATCCCGGAGTCCAGTCCCTCCTTGGGCTCCCTGCTCAGCGCAGAGTCTGCTTCTCCCTCTCCCTCTGCTTCTCCCTTTCTGTCAAATAAATAAATAAAATCTTAGAAAAAATAGTAGTAATTAGTTACTCAGAGTTAGCCAGTCCCTTGGCCAAACTAAGATCTCTCTCTCTCTCTCACACACACATAAACATCACAGAGTTAAATGTTGCATGCTGAAATTTGATACCCCTTATTTACATGTTAGCAACTTACTGATCTTCCATAACAATACTTTTAACAAGTTCCATCTACTCCATTTATTTGCAAAATCTCTGTAAATAGTTTATCCAGGCCTTTTCTAGACTGCCTGGATAATTAATCTAATTATTTACAACAGTTTCAAGCTCTTAACTATAAGCAAAGGTTATCACTACCTTTATTTTACAACTTTAGGGCAAAATCTTTAAAGATTAAAAAAAAGAAGAAAAATTCTTTTGAGAGTCATGTCGATTCGTGAACACAGCATACTGTCTCCTACACACACTAGATGTCACTGCATGACCTGAAATATTGGCTGTAATTTCATCTATTTCTTTACAATCTTTATAGGCAAGATAGTAAAGATAAAAAATAATCTCGAGGTATGTTTCCCAAAAATCAGACACCTTTGCTTGTATTTGGTCAATTGCATTCATAAAAATAAATTCTATACATTAAACTAGGAAACATTGTAGGTTTCCTTTTTATCATCAGCTCCCCCTCCCCAAATTCTAATATTAAATAGAAATGTTTGCATTTGATGAGTAAATAATGGTCTCTATGTTAAAAGATACTGGGAGAGATTGGACGAAAATAAAACTTAGGGAATGGGCTTAACGAGTTTCAAATTCAGCATAGTTATAAAGTGCCCTGTATTGTGTCAAACATCAGCAGGCACCAGGAGGCCTACACATGAAGGAGGTATAAACAAAAATTATGGGAACATAGAGAAAGAGACCCATAAAGGATTTAGGCAATGGACATCAGCCCCAAAAGAAATAGAGCTAATCTTCATTTGAAAAACTCATATATGAATATACATATTTGAGGTGGTTTATTACTTGTTCTTCCTTAGCCTAGAGTGACATTTATCAATTATATTTAGTGAGATGTGAATAGGTGTTCAGCAGAAGAGAATTCCATGGTCAAATAAATTTGAGAAATATTTGGCTATTTAAAAAAATCAACAGCCTTGTTTTTAATGCAGAATTCCTCAGCTTCTAATATCTGACGGTGGATTTTAAGTTTCTAAAAGGGAAATGCAGTACCTATCATGTCTTATTTAATAATCTTAAGGAGATAGAAATGTGAAGATTTAAGATTTATGGCTTTTAATATCATATGGATTCAAGAAAAAAAAACCCATGATCTTATTTTTACTTAATTACTGGAAATTGATAGATCTGAAAAGACTATCTAAAAAAGCTAAGATCTTTTTTTTGTTTGATTTCTCCTTCTTGTAACTAATTTCAATGTAAGAACAAACAAATGTTTTATGCAGTACAATTCAAAACTCATATCAATTATTTAGCTGAAACAAACCAAAAGAAACTTGGAAGAAATTTCATATGCACAGTAAATTGTAAGCTATGCTCCCAGATTTCCTGATGGTTAAATAGTTGATTCCCCTCTACGACTAAGAGTTCCGTCAAAAAGGTTCAAGAAGCATTCTCTTAGGAGAAACCATGGTTTATGTGAGCTTGTTGAGCTTAAAGAAAATGGGACGATGCTATGTCTTGCAATAGAGGCTGTTAATGAAGCTTGGGGTGAGTCAAACTCTAAAATCTTGTCTGAACATTGGCGGATGATCAGTGCTGGGTATCTTCCATTTGCCCCATACTGTTCTACTCCAAGCCCTCCTCCACCTTGCTTTCTTCTGCTGCAGACTGATTTATATGGACAACATCAACAGGGCTGCCATAACTTCTGGTTTCCTGTCAGTTGAGTCAATGGTAGCTTTATCTGGCAAAAGACCAAGAAAGGAAAAAATGTGAGGTCAGGATATTTGTTTTCCTGGCTCCTTCCCTGCAATGTTACTTGACACTAACTTTTCCCTCAATGGAAGCTCATTGTACCTCTCAAGTCAGCCTTCGGTGAGTTTTGACAAACATATATACACAGAAAAACACAATCACCGACAAGACAAAAACAAAAAATTCCTGATGTCCCCTTTGCATTCCATCAGTCCCTCCTGGCCCCAGGAAATCATTGTTCTGTTTTTTTGGTGTTATGAATTAGCTTGAATCCTCTAGAATTGTGTATAAATAAAACCAAGTATCAGGTACTCTTTGTGCATTGGGTTTTTTTTTTTCACTTAGCATTTTGAGATTTATCCAATTCATTGTTTGCAGCAATAGGTTTCATTGTGTTTTTTGTTTTGTTTTCTGAAAAGTGTTCTGTTGTATGCATAGAAAAAAAATTATTTATGCATTCATATCTTGATGGAAATTAGGATTGTTTTTAGGTTTGGGCTACAATGACTTAAGCAGCTTAGTATTCTTGGATTAGTCTTTTTGTGGACAAATGTTTCACTGGCCTGGGTAAATGCCAAGGATCAGAAGAGATTAGTCCTATAGTAGGTGAGTGTCCAACATTTTAACAAACTGCCAAACAGATTTTTAAAGTAGTTGCAACATGTTAACAGTCCTACCAGTGGTATATGATAGGAGTTCTAGCTGTCCTCATCTTCACCAACACTATTTTCCGTCTTTTAAATTTTAGCCATTACAACGAAGGAAAAGAAAGAAAACAAAAGCCAAATAATCAGGAAAGGAAGTAAAATTGTATCTATTTTGTGACATGACTGATTAGGCTGTCTAGTGATATCTCATTGTGATTTTAATTTGAATCTTCCCAACTGAGATGTTAAGAATCTTCTTCCATTGAACTTATTGGTCATTTGTACATTTTTCTTGAGGGGTGTCTATTCAAATCTTTTGTCCATGTTTTTTAGGTTTCTTCTGACCTTCTTATAAGGTTAGAGTTGTTAGATACATAAAACTTGTTAGAGTTTTATATATTTTAGATATGCATAT